GCTTCTATTATGGGAGGGGGGGGGGGGTAGTAGAATGATCTCTACTTTCTAGATTATAGAATTTTTCACGCTGCATCTTAGTGTATTCTGTTTTTTTTAATAACACATATTAGAAATTGGAAAATAAGGTAGAAATATGGCAATTTATCATAAAACACCTGTTACTTTATACGACCATGCGAAGAAAGTCTTCTCTTAGTTCTATCTTATATATCTTCCTTATAGCTTGCACTAGAGTTATGGAAATGTAGGATAATATTCATCTACTCAGAAAATATTATATATCCGACTTTAAGCATTTTTATTTTGTAATAAGAGAGAAAGAGAAATTTTTCTATATGGCACCAAGACTTTTGGCTCACCCTTTATATTGTAGCCGTTGTGGGTCGATAAGAAACCTTCCTAGGATAGACATTTATGGCATTTGGTTACCTGCATACGATGGCTCTTGAAGTCCTGTGAGTAGGTGCATGTGATTGATCTGGGGAAAGTGTTGGTACCGGGGGTGCAGAATCTGCCCCGTAGTTGCAGCGACGCTGCTGGGAAAAGCAGGTCTTTCGAGGAAATTTCGGAATATCCTAACTTATACATATTCAAACCTTGGGAAAAGTTGTCCGGTTGGTCGTCCGTGCTCCCGCGAAGCTCTGGCAGATTCTGCACCCCCGGGCGATACACTCATATAATAACTCTTGAGTATCTATCAATATCCCCATATGAGAGCCCTGGAGACCTAAAGGTATCTTCATATACGACGTCTGGGTAGCTATATGTGGAGCAAAGTATGCTCTCTAGGCTGGGTAGTTTGAAGACAACGGTACGGCTAGTAGAGTGGCTACATGAGGAAGCAGGTATTTCTCTTAGGATAGGCAGATGGGTTCCAACATCTAGTGGTGGTCTTTTCTTATGACTGGAACAACCACTTTAACTTTAAAGTTAAAGTTAAAATGCAACCCCTAGTAGTAACCTCGATATCTTCTGTGTTTTCATGATATCACAAAGAGTTGCAATCCGTTTTTTTCCTCTTGGTTCAATTAGAGCCAATAGTTGAAATATGTTTGTCATAATTAGATGAACATAAGACGAGTAAGAATATAATGGGATTAGTAAGTCCATTACATTTCTATGACAAAACATAGCATACAGCTTTACTAGGTATGCACCAGTTCCAGTTCAGAACTGGAGACTAGGACCAGTCGGACCGGGTACCCCAGTCCGACTGATACCCAGTTAACTGAAACTGGTGCATACCTAATCTTTACATCATCATCATTAACTTGTCTTAATGAAAATTTATTTTGGTCAAGCTCAAGTGTTGAATATGGATTAGAAAAATTTCAGAATAATTTTGTTATTTCAGACTCAATTCGTTCACCATCAGATTGTCTTGCAGAGTTCTTTTCATTTAAATGATCTTAATAGACCAAAATTATCTGACTGACAAAATGGACATTGTGAACCATGACGTATAACACAAAAAGGAAATCGTATTTAAATATTTTATTTCCAGTGCACCTCAAAACTCTGGCACCTCCTTTTTGTTTTGAGTTGTAAATTAAAACTACATTGTATTGATTTTCCGTTATATGCCTGAATAATACTCGATGTCTCCTATACAGGCATATAAAAGAATAAAATTATTGTAATGTAGTTTTAATATGCCACTGAAAACAAAAGGGTGGGGCCAGACTTTTGAGATGCACTGTATTTTTCTAAATGTAATATTTTAATGTTAAAATATTCTATCAAGAAAATGTTAGTCGAAAGTCTATTTCTAAAATAAAATGTTCAATAATAAGATTTGATATATTTCTAGTAATTATCTGCATAATCTTTATTAGAATAATAATCTATATAAAACTAGAGATAGAAAAAGAAAGATATTATTTCGATGTAATGAAGTCCAAGAATTTTTTTAAAATCAATATGAATAATTCTAGAAAATATTGAAATCAGTTAATTTTGTTATCTAACAAATCGATTTTGATTCTATAATTATTTTATTTAACAATCGAAAATATAGTTGAAATTAATTTTTCGAATTTGATCCATAATTAACTTTTTTAATATTTGAAATAATATAAAATATATTAATTTATATAAGAAGATTAAATCCAAATATATAATTTGTCTAATTGAGGAAATCTAATTTGAATATCTTTAGAATGAAATAATCGACCATTATCAATTTCTATTAATCTTTCTTTAAAGAGAATTTTTTTGGCGTCTTTAGATTTATAAAGGTCGTTTTTATTTAATGTTAAACAAACTAGTTGATCAAATCGATGAATAATTTTGAAAATAAACTGAAGAAGATTTTCATTGAAGATAAGATATGCACCACTTATTTCAAGACAACATAGATTAGGTGCTAATTCATTTAATCGATCGATATCAAAAGGTTCTTTAGCGTGACGACATAATCGATCTAATAAGAGATGCACATGTTGAAGATTTGAATATCTTTGAGAACAATGACGAAAATCGTTCCACTCAATTTCAATATGCGAAAGATTTGGCGACGAATCAAGTATTTGTTTCACTATATAAACACGTTCTGCTTGTTTTATTCGTTCTGTTTTGAATTGAAAAATCATGGATCGTAGATGATTAAGCAACAAATGACAACTAGAAGGATAATTTGATATCATCGGGACATTTATCTAAATAAAAATCAACATGTTATATATGAATTTTTTATTTTGGAGGCATTCTTTATCACTTGAATAAATAAATTCTTTATACACTTTTTAAATATTGATATTCTTTCAGAACTTATTATTAAATGACATTTTCCCAGAGATCCAATCAAGATAATGAAATAGTATACTCATTAATTAGATATTCATCAAAAGAAAATTTACCTGATCTTCTCAAAGCTGAACTATTTAACTTTGACTAACAGTTCAATGTAATAATAGCAGGAGAAATCCGTGGACATGTACCACTTTTATAGAAGAAATTGTTTTTTCAGCAATCATGTCTGATTATCAGAGGTGTTTACAGAATAGGATAAAAAAATATTTTTACTTTGCCGTACTCTAGAACATAGTAGCGTAGGGTAAGGTGCTTTTACCATACACATTTGAAAATCAGTGTTTCCCATTTTTATACTCAAAAAGAACGTTTTTGGAGTCTTTGACAATCGAAAATCGAAATAGACTGTAGAACAGTACCAACTGCTTTTCAGAGTTTTCCTCTAAGATCTACATCATTAAATGCAAAAAGAATAAGTTTTCAACAAGATAAATCAAAAAAAACATTTTATTATTACGATCGGTAGAAAAACATTTATAGAAATAAATAATGCATTCGTTTTTGTTGGTTTTTTCCGAAGGGAAAACAACTAAGACTTTGGCTGTGAAGTCCACTAAAGTCTCACGAAGTCGAAGTATTCAAGTCCACTGTTTTCCTCCCTCGATTTTTTCTCACTGATGGTAGTTGTCTTATTTTTGTGTACTCAAAAGGTGAGTACGCTATAGAATCGATCAGTGTGTCCGGCCGGCGGTTTACACGATAACTCTTAAAAATTTATCCCTCACCCTCATGAAATTTTGTGCATAGAATCCTCTCGTTGTTATCTCCGTCGGGTTCGACGATGGGAATGATTGACCGAGATCTTCCTGAATTATAGCAAAAAATGTGATAATTCTCTGTACTTTCCTATTGGAACATAGACCTATCCTAGATTTCATTGAAAAATGGTTTATTCTATAATCAAATAAAACCTCAACTATTATATACCATTCGAAAGAGAATTTCACGGGCAACAACCAACGAGTGAACGTCATCCATTTGACTCAGTATACAATTATATTTCTGTTAACCACTCGTTCAGACATCTTTTCGTAGAAAATTTCAGGTGCTACAAAGTGCTATATAAAACATTAAGGGGACCTTACGCCCTAGTGGCATAACCAGAAAATAGTTCTAGAGAGGATCCAGCCCCTCCTTGGCTCCTGGTGGTGGGGAGAGAAGGGGTGTCTCAAGCATTCAACGGGGGGGGGGGGGGGGGGGGGGGGGGGGCGGGGCTCCGCCAGCTCTGCCTCCCCCCCCCCCCCCTGGGCGCGGGGGGGGGGGGGAGGAGGGGTGTCCCAAACCTTCCGGGGGGGGGGGGGGGGGGCGGGGGCTGAGCTTCTCTGGTTACGCCTATCCTCCTCCTCGCCCCAACCCCACTTTTCTGAGCGAGAATTTTCAGTTTTTTGGTTTCTGCTTTGTTTTTCACTGATTCTATACCCCGAAGCGTCTTCTATCTACTGAACATATTTCGAGAATTAAAATCTCTCTTTCAATGTCGTAAAAGCTTGAAAAGAACGGAAATTTTTATTAGAAAACACAAAACTCAATTTTGTTTTTCGTTTTTTCTCAAAATGACCTTTTCAAGAAAAAAATCTAAATTTTCCCGTTTTTCTTTCTAGACAGTTTGATGAAAATCAATCTGTCGTCAATTATTTTTACTTTTTGAAGTACACATAACACTCGAATTTAAATCCAAGGTTTTCACATTTATTTATTGTTCTTTTTGATGCATAATTTCTTTCAAATGAAGTTCTGCAGTAAATCTCATGAATCTAAGTTGTGCATACTATACCAGTTATGTCTCTTCTCTTTTGTTAATATTCATGTATTTAGTTAGTTAACCTATAATTTTCAAGTATTCGAAAATGAATTTCGGTACAGAAGAGGAATATCCCTCTTTTCGGCTACCTTTCAGTATAGGGTGCTGTCCGATATCTTTTTCTATAACTCGCTTTAGCTCTGGACGAATGATCGGCCTAACTCAGAGCTTTCCATTCAGTAACTTGAGCTCATAGTATACACTGACTAACCACATACTAGCCACAAGGGCCTGTGTATGTCACAACGTAGTCTGTATATTATCGAACAGGTGATTCGAGACAAACAGCCGTTAGTAATTTGTCTATGATCATTCTGTCTCGTGGTGCCGAGGCTCGAACAGCGTACGATGGTACTACATGCCGAACAACTTACTCAGTCAGCCATAGCGGTTGTTGGATTAAGGTAAAACAATGATCTATGTTCGAATATGCGCACGTTTTGCTTTTCAATCCAATTGAAACCTCTGATGAAGACACACTCTAAAAAAGGTATACTCAGAAAGCAACTAAAATAGCTTTCAAAAGTTCCTTTTTTTTAGAGTACAGTGCATCAGTTCAGCAAAATACACTGCCCTGTTCTATTTGGTCGATCCAATAGATTAGGACAGGACAGAGTAAGATGCAAAAATATCACTTTGTGAACACCTTTAATAACTAGACTAACAAAATCGAAAAAAAATACTTTTTTTTCTCACAACGTGGTAAAAACCTACGGTTTTATCCAGCATTACTTTTTAACCTTTTCAGAAAGTACATCACTTTAAAACAGTCAACAATTGTTTTTTTTCCTGACTTTTATATCATATAGACAATTTGAAAAAATAGTATTCTGCATGATTAAGTTATATCGTTGACGTATTTAATTACATAAAATAAGTTTAATACTTTATTTCTCACTCTAAGTAATTCTAATATGAGATTTATTAGTTTGTTTTTTTTATAAGTTTTCATTTGAACAGTACATTCTCATTTTTATTCCAAATTTCCTTTTTGTTAAAGTTTAGTTCCATCCTGTTGATTAACCAATCAAACATCTGACATTGGTTAAAACTTTATCAACTAATTTTGTCCGAAATCAAAATGAAAAAAATTTGATAAATTTTTACAATTTAACTGAAAAGATTAAAGAAAAAGAATTTCTTCAATTCCCTTTCAATATAACTATAATAACATATATTGTCTTTAGTTTAGAAGTTGATACACTTACCAAATCATCTCGATATATCAACTCGAGTTTGTTCAGATGACTGCTTCCAACTATTTGCAAAGTTTTGAGTAACTGATCAGGATTGCCCATTTCATTGCAAGTCAGTTGGAGTGATCGTCGTCGATTTGTAATTATCGGCATAGATGCATGTCTTGCAAAACGATGATTATGTAAAGTTCGCTTGTATTCTAATAGAATATTGATCGGACGTTTATAGATAATGAATTGACTTCTTTTGACAATAGATACTCCATTATCGTCCAAAAACAAAGTTTCATCTACATAATAATCAATATTGTCAAAAGGCCATTCACCATTGGAACTGAATGGACTTATTCGCCATGCCTCTTCAATCTCTTTGGGAAAACAAAATGAAAAGTAGAGATTTTTTAGAGAGGGTAAATGTTGAGAATCACAGACTTGTTGAAATCTGCTAAGATGATCTAGTGCTGCAAAAAAAAGAAAAATGAATATTTTCATCTTGGAAAAATATATTCAAAGTAAATGCGTTCAGTTTTGTTAAAATATTTCCAGTGGATAAGAACATATGTTTCACTGCTGCAAATATCAATAAAATATTTGTGCAAATGTCTCATCAAAATTGTTCAAATCTAAATTTCATTTGATGATCTATTCTATCAAATCAAATGAAATTTAGTAATAATAGTCGAAGTGAAAAATCTAAATTGCTTTAAGTTAATGATAACTTACTATGATCATATAAATCAATAAGTATGAATTTTTCAAGTAAAGACATAGTTAATGAATTCATTAATATAATAAGATCATTAAGAAATATATAACGTAAAAATAATGATTTTAATTGAGTACCATCAACTATTTTATTTAATTGATTTTTATCAAATGAAATATTTGATATTGATTTATTTTTATGTTCTGGCAAAATACTATATATTCCCTCATTAGTAATATTTAAATGTTCAATTGACGGCAAAGCACCATTTCGAAAAAAAAACATTATTTCATTTGAATGTTTAATACTTAAACTTAATTCTATTGTATTTGGCCAGCATAATCGTTTCATATTTAAATCTTCTATTAAATTATTTGAATAAAATTCATAACCTATAAAATAGATAAATCTAATAAGAATATAGCAAAAAAATCTATCATCGTAGCTGACCGCATATTATCAACCAGAACAAGCACATCTGACGATGTGGGACGGGGTAGGGAGTCTTAGCGACCAACCAGGGCTCTCCAGGAGTGATGAGGCCTAAAATTTCGCCGACAGTCGGACGCGAACAGTCTAGGAGCAAAAATCCGTCTGTAAGAATTTGGTAGACAACGCTTGGATAGATATTCAACATTTTCGCAGACACCGCGTGAAAAGTGCCGGGGACTAGCACCCGTCCCTCACATCGAGAGGGATGCCTCGGTATTTTTTACGTCGTGCCTACGAAAATGTTAGATATTTATCCAAGAATTATCTGCCAAATTTTGAGTCATCCTACTTCTAAAAATCATCAAGAGTCCTGAGAACAAATCCGTTTCTTTTCATATCTCATAAACAAAATTCAAATGGATGAATCCGCCAAATTTCTACTACTTTTGAGGAAAAAAATTTTTTTTTTGGTTTTGATAGTCTAGTTAGACGCATCATTGCTGAAAACGGTCTGAGGTAGCAATTAAAATCTTTTTGGGCATATAAGGTACGGAGATCGAGATCATTTTTTAGGAAGATTTCACACATGTAAAGGCTGTTCAATAAATACCTTACCCTTAAATTGTTAATCATTTTTTTCATACTTTTCATTGGTATAAAGATCTGAAATTTTTTTCACATATATATATCTAATCAAAATCTTTTACTTCTCAAAGTTTCAACTCTCTAGCTAGGACTAGTGGTGAAATGCGTCGACAAGACTGACATACATTCATTTTCATACCTCATTATGCATAATTTTTACTATGAAATTATTGCAAAAATCGACTATGAAATCTAGGTATTTCACTATTAGTTCCGGTAAGGGAGCTGAAACTTTCAGCTTTCGATATTAAGAAAAACTATAAAACATCATTGGAGTTTCTCATCGGTTGGTATAGAATACCCTTTAGATATGTATAGTGTTCCTAAAAAATGATCTCGATCTCCACACTATGTGTTCAAAAAGGTTTTAATTCTTACCTCAGACAGTTTTCACCGATGATACGTCTAACTAAACTATTAAAGTCGAAAAAAAAACTTTTTTTCAGAACATTGACGCAGTTTCTATAAAATGGTAGAAAGCTGGCGAATTCATCCAATATCATAAAATAGAAGCAATGATTAATCATCTATTACAAAATGTTTCACTCTAAACAGTTAAAGTATAACAGAAATTATTAATAATAAATAAACGGAAAAGTTTCCTATTACATAAAGTCATACCTTGTTTGTTAATTAAGTATGGAACTATAAACTTATCTGTTGAACAAGAATTTCTTTCGTGCTAACTACAAGTATGTCAAATAGAAAACAAACTGAGAATATACCTTTGCAAGTTAAAACATTTTCCATGTTGCAAATAGAAGACAGTAAGAATATAGAATAAATTATTTCATAATAGCTTCTCTCTCAACTCTAGAGAAAACTCACATATTCAAAATTGATACACATTATCATATACAGTAAAAGCTCTATAGTGGATACCCATTGTACTTTTCAAACTGCCCACAAACGAGAGATTATATATCTTCAAAGAGGAAAAGTTCTTCGAAGAAGCAAGGATATTTCTTCTACGTATCTAAAAGATTAGTGAATAATATTAATGGACAAGAAAACGTTGTCATTTCTATTTTTATCTTCGTTTAAGTATTCAAACAGAAAAAATCAAGACTTGTCATAATCTTTCGTTCAATCCTATTTGTTCACTTTCGTCAATGCATTCGTTCAATAATTTTCTTCAAGCTGAAAGAGAATCGGAAAATTTTCTGCAATGAAGAATGATAACGGCACAACCTTTAACAAATCGTATTTGTTCATCACTTTGTGTATCAACTAACTACGGCCATTTTGTTTCTTTTATCAATGCAAATTTCTTTTCCTATGTTCACTGTTGTCGGTTTAAACACTGGTATCTGTCTCTTTTCATGGTAGGAAAATCACACGACAGCAACAATGCCTTTATATCTCTCTCGTCAATTGAGCATAGCAGATATGATTTTTTTCTGTAATTTGCATATCTAATTCGTTAAGAAAAATCATCATCACATATGTTCAATAGTAGCCCTCGTGACATTTTCGTCCAATTGCGAACGTAGTGTCCACTATAGATGTTTCTGTATAACAAGATTTCAGAGTCACATTTGAAACATTGAAATATATTGACTTTTAAAGGCAAGAAATTCTACTTAGGTCATACCAAAAGTAGGGGCTCCCGCATCTTTATTTCGCAGACTGCTTGGAAAAAATTTCTTTTTTTATGAACAGATAGTGTCTTTTGCTCTAACTTTCTATGCTATTTGATCACTATTCAACTAATACAATAATAATAATAATTCGATAAGATCTGTTTCTTTCGAATGTGTCCTGACTGTTGAAAAGAGGAGATGAAGACACATCGAACCGCATATTACTGATTTTTCTAACCTGTTTTTTGTAAGGTTTTCAGTTGACCTTTTAAAGAACAAATCTATTCCGTGAGTTGTTTACAGTGAGTATTCAATAATCAGGTTCACATTCAAACCGCTAATCGAAGATCTACAAACTGCGAAAGACTCAGATGTTTAAATTTAATTATTTAGAGATAATACGTATTCTAACTACGATGTTCTATCAACTTTTTTGCTTTTTCTTTTTCTCATAAAAAAAAAAATTTTTCAACGGTTAGAAAATTGAATAAAAAAAACTTCAAAAATCGTATTAGAAAAATCAGTAATATACAGTTCGATGCGTCTTCATCTCCTCGTTCCAACGGTGAAAACCGCAATTCTCTATTTTGTTGTTATCAAACGCTATTCAAAATGTACTTACGACAATTGATGCTATCAGCAGTTATGTGAAAGAAACAAATCTTATCGAACTTTTATTATTATTCTATTAGTTGAATAGTGATCAAATAGCATAGAAAGATAGACTAAGTAATTTCTAAATTCTAATAAGCATCTTATTTTCTATTTCGCATCTTGAAGATAAATATCTTTCTGACTCGTTGTATATTAAACATATCGTAACTGATGAATGTTTTCTAATTGTCAACCATATTAATTGATGAATATAATCTAAGTCTAAAGATACTTTCAAATCTCTTAATAAAAATTCGTTGATAATATCTTATATAATCAAATGATATTATTGTAACTATANAAGTTGAACCAGAAAAAAATCTTGTTCAATTAGAAAATGGACGAAAAGTATAGAAATTTTTATTGAAATTATTCGAAAAAAAATGAAATTTTCTTGTTGTTTTTGATAGATCACCTATGATTATTTAATAGTAGCTGCTGGTATTGAAATAAATTTCAATAGAATAAAAGGAGCTATTGATGCATTAGATAATGATCCACAACATGTAGTTAGTATTTACACTCGAAAATACGCTGCTAATGTTTATAACACACTTAATAATTTTCGTAATGGTCAAGCAATATTTACATTTCCAGCTACACCTATTAAATGTCCTGGAGCACCACAAAAAATATTGTATCTTGCTGAAGATTTATTCCGAAGAGTAAGAAAAAGAGAAAAAAGTTATTTATAAATAATAAATTTTTTAATTTAGAATAATGTACGTGATAAAACTACAGTTACATATAATACTTCATTGCCAGTTATTTTTGGCGTTAAAAAATATGCAGCTGCTTTAATGGAAATTGTCAAAGAACGGTTAGTCATAATTATATTATATATTTATACATAAATGAATGATTTAATGTTTGTAGAAATATTCAATTAAACACTCGATTGAATCTTGTTGAAGTACGGGCCAACTCAAAAGAAGCTATTTTCGAAAATCTCGACCAACCCGGTACTATGAAAACATTTAAAGTAAGGAAATAAAATTCTTTATTTGTATCTTCTTTCTTTAATATGTAATTTTTAGTACGATTTATTGCATATTGGTGCTCCTATGCAACCTCATGAATTTTTGGCAAAATCTACATTAGTTGATGCAAATGGTTATGTTGATGTTGATAAAGAAACATTACAACATAAAAAATTTCCTAATGTTTTTGCTATTGGTGATTGTGCTAACCTTCCAACGAGTAAAACAGCTGCTGCTATTGCTGGATCAAATGGTATTCTTGTCCGAAATTTAAGTAATTTAATGTTTGGCAAATCTGACAAAGTTCCAAAAGTATATTTTTCTTTTATTATTTTCGAGAACAAAAAATTACTTTTTTTCACAGTATGATGGTTATACAAGTTGTCCACTGTTGACCGGTTATGGCAAATGTATTCTAGCTGAATTTGACTTTGATGGAAAACCATTAGAAACGTTACCTATTGATCAATCAAAAGAACGTCGACTTTCATACATATTGAAAAAAGATATTATGCCGGCAATGTATTGGCATATGTTAATCAAGTGAGATTTTGTTGTTATTCAGATCTTTTTATTCCTATTCTGGTTCTTTTTCTTAAATAGAGGTAAATGGAATGGACCAGCAGTATTCCGTAAAATGTTTCATCTTGGCATGTCTGGTTAAATATCATTCGTTCAATGACGGATACATTTAAGGATTGCCCCTTTTTTTAATGCAAAATTCTAATACATTGTTGATTTTTATTTCTTCCAAAAATCATTTATTTTTTTTTAAATGCATTAAATAAATAGCAAGACTTACTCAGTCTTTAATAGATTTTTCTATATGAAGCATTGTTTTCAGAATGATGATCTTCAAAACAAAAAGGTTTTGTGAACAAAATCTGTGATAGAGAACTGCGAGTCCACGTTTTTGTGGGCCAGATCTGAACCCAACCAAGCCCGAGTCTGGAAGAGTCCACAGCTCCGTAATCTTCAATGTTTTATATTATATCAATCAAATAGAAATTGAAATCTACTTGACATTAATTTCTTTGATAGGTCTTTTGAAAAGAATTATTTAGTTGCTGACAGTATTGATACATCTAATTTGTCGTTTCATTAATAAAAATGTCATGCACATAATTATCAAAACAAAAAACGGATATAAATATGTGCTTTTATAATCATATAAGACGCATTTTTGACAGGAGGAAGAGTGCTCCCTTGAGATCCGATTATAATAATGTTATTCGAAGATAATTGAAATAGTGCCGCACAGAAAGTTTTAACAAGCAAATTCTATTCAATACGACATTGTTCGTAAGAAAATCTGAATTATGGCATGTTATTCATCAAAAATAGAATTATCTGAAAAAAATTTCAAATGAACAACTTCTACTCATCTTTTTGAAAATAAATTCGATATAATCAGACTCGAAACTAATCAGATGAATACGCATAATAATATAAATGTTCATGTTTCTGTTGAGTTCAATGTAGAATCAGAATATTAATTGTTTATCAATAATAAAAGTTCGACTTATTGTTGCAATTCATAGCACTTATTCGAATGCTTGGAAAACAAAGTTGATGTTGTGCATGCATGACATATTACATTCTATTGATTAAAGCTTAGAAAAAGTTCTCTAACTTTTTACATTTAAACATCTTTCTCGGTAATAGTGTCTGCTCGGTACATAGAAGGTTAGACTATCTTGTTTTCTTATCATTTCATAGATTAGGTAAAATAACCTTGACATCAACCACGTGTATGCCCATTACATATCGTAGTGAATATATTCACAAAAAGTTACTCAACTACAAAAAGAAAAATACAACAGTAGGATACTAGAAAAAAATTCTACTTCATAGAAAAAAAACTAGCACGAAAAAATTATATATATAAAAATATAATAATGAAAAATTCTAAGTTTCATACATCTTGGAAAGAAAAAAAAATATTCTCAAAAAACAAAAAAAAACTTTCAATAGAGCGAATATTCTATGAAAGGAAAAAACAGAAAAAAAAATGCACCATAAAAATGAGTGCAAAAAAACTAAAGTTGTGAAAAAAAAGAATAGAAAAGTGGCAAATAAGCGCACATATTTATACAAAAAAACAGTAGAAATTTTTCGAAATGTAAACAAAAAAGAAAAAAACACAAATTTTTTACCAATTACAAATAGAAAAGACGATCAGCAAGTTCAGGATTAAAATCCTGATGTAAACTTTGACCAACAAGAAATGCCAATTTATGAGCATATTGACAAACAGCAGGTACACGAATTGTTCCTGGCCAACTACAATTAAATAAATTTCAAAAATTTTAACTAACTATAAAAAAAACATAAACTAACTTATAATATAAATGAGTAAGTTTAAAAGTAAGGCGTTGCATATGATCCACTTTGAAACTAAAAAAGAAAAAAGCACAATTTTCATATTTTAATACTTCGAAAAAAAAAAGAATTTGACTTTGTTCGATCCCAAATGACATTGTAATGTGTTGGTGCCACTGTTCCTTGTCGAGCACATTGAGAAATTAAATAAAAGTCATACCATTCAGCTAAAGAAAGAAAATTTTAATCCATAAAAAAATACGGATGAACTCACCATTTGTGACTGTATGATCAATAATTGTACCCGGTGGAGGATTGGCCATTGATGTACTACCCATTTTAGCAAAAAATCGAGCATTACCTTTCTTTTTAACAATAATAACAGCAAGTTTCGGTCTAAAATATCTATCTAAAGTAATTCTTATTCATTTTTAAAGATTGATTTACTGATATCCAGGCATTATTTTAGGAAATGTATCAATAATTTGTGGTAATTCATGTTCAGCAACAATAGCTAGTTGACCATCTGAGACACCATCCCGATAAAGCACAACTAAATAAAATGCAAAAAAAAACAACAACAAAAGTTTCATTCATAATTTTAATTTCTATTTCGTTACTTTTTTCAGGTAATGTATTATTTACTCGATGATATTCTTTTAATGAATCTAAATCAAATGAGTAGTAATCATTTATTAAAATAAATTATTTTACCTCGCATGCATTGTTGTAAACCATCCATTAATTCTTGCGCTGTACGATTATAAATCACTCGCGAATAGAAACGAGTACATGTAACATTTGTCGAAGCAACAAATGCGCCTACACTAGCGCCTAAAAAAACAACATTTACAGCAATAGATAAAAGTCCTCCGGCCACATCTCAGCTTCCATACATACAGAAAATCTGGGAATTTATGTGCATATATTCCACTAAGAATGGATAGCTAGGACAAAGCTGTAAAAAATGAGGGACCAGCTTTCTTATCAGAATCATAATGTTCAAGAACAACTCAGTACTATTCATCATCATCTATCATGATTCCTATTGTGTTTAAGCAAGCGGGTAGCTCTAATATACAATATTGGTGGATTATGTGCCTACAAATTTTTAGATCTTCAGTGTCTATGGTAGTTGAGACATGATTTTGTTGAATATATAAAAAATAATAAATTAACCTTTTCGTTTTGAATCATGATATGAATCCATACCAATAACCATTAATGTTTTTGACTAAAAATTAAAATATAAATGAATTTTTAATATATTCAGAATAATATTTCATTTACGGGTATAGTTACACCCCAAATTTCGCCACCAAGTTTTGCATTTAATTGAATACCAATTTTCGTTGCAACAGACATTAATTGATTTTTTTTTGAAATAGTTTTTGCTAAAACCATCTAATCACAAAAAGAAACTATCAAAAAACCAAAAGAATTGAAAAAAAATCTCACTTGAGAAGGTACCGGATTATCAAGACACATGTATTTTTTTAGAGCATCATATCGATCTTTACGATTATTTGGTAATATACAAAGAACAAGATCGGTATTTTTTTGAATTTTTTCTGGTAATGCACTTAAATATGTTTCAGGTCGATCATTTGGTAATTGAATTCTATTTAAAAGAGAGAAAAACGAATATAATATAAATACTTCGGGTATTGGATAAGATAAAACCTACAATGAGTATTCATGATAAATAAAGCAATGGAAAGGGATTAGACAAAGATTAAATATGATTAAGACATGTCGATTAAATTGATGTAATTTTCCTCAATTAAGGCATGGTGTGTTTTCTAGCTACATTCTTGCATTCTTTACCTGAATCTTTCCTATTTTTCCTCTATTCATGAGAAATTGATAATTGGAACTCTTTCACTTTTGTTATGCTTGCTTAAAACGAATTTCTTTCCACTAGAACTGATCTGACTCTTTCTATGCATTTGCATTGAATGAAATCTCTTTGGAAAATAGATGCTTTAGATATAGGCATAGGTATTTTAAGAATTATTCGGAATCAACAGACGGACAATTATTTATAAAGCGAGCTATATTGAATTTGAGTGGGATCATTGATTAGAAAACGAGCATTCTATTAGATGTTTACATAGATCTAAGCGCTTCATAGAAAACATCTCTTTTCTAGAAAATTGTAATGTTTGGTATACTGATAATGCTACTGTAAACTAGAAACCGTACTATGATACTCTATATGAAATTTTCTAATCGGAATTAGATAGTCGCTCCGAAGATATGAGAAACGTTTTCTTCTTATTTTGTATTCGGTGATTATAGTACCCTACATATGTCTCAGAAGACTAGACTCGTCCAGTCTAAAATTTTTCGACTCAACCGTTTTACTTGATTCTTTGCCCTATGAATATAGTATCGCTGATAAGTTTCGCTGGCGAATTTTGAGCTGAAATTTCGGCAATAGATAAGGCCTTATTGTCGCTACAAAAACCCGAAAGTTTGGTCCAGAACAAATATATCCTTACTATGAAATGTTACAATTTAAAAACATATCTGTTTTGAGCTGTTTCAAAAGAAGAACATTTATCTGGCAAGCCGACTCCTTGATATGGATATATTTGTCCAAGCGCAAACTTGGGGTTATTCCTAGTGCCTATAAGGCCTATCTATGATCGCAATTTCAGTGCAAAAATGAAGTAAAACGCTGATAATACTACAAACAAAGATCAAAAACCAAAACAAAACAGAAGTTTTTTTTTTACCACTCGTCATGATAAATCGAATGGTAATAATTTCAAGCAAGAAGCGATTATTCAGTTGGAAATGTTCTCTTGTCAATTCCCGTGTTCAATGAAGAAGACATTTTTAATTTTTCTCTCTCCTGAAATCTTGTAACAATTTTACTTCGTTGTGTGATAATAATCTATTTATTTCAAACAATTAGACCCATTCAAATTTTGTACCGAAAGGACCGATGAATCATCAAATTAATGCTAATAAAAGAAAGCAAATGAATATAAATGACTTACACATTTGGATATTCAACTTCCATTCCAAATGGTACGCATACTTGATAAAGTGCATTAATAAGTTCATCACCAAGTTCACGTAATGATGATGGATAAAAAACAATCCAATTTTTAAGATTTTTACATGATATATGTTTTAAACTACGACCTGATAAAAAAAAAACGTTGTTTTTTATATTTGAAAAAACGTTCTATTAATTAAACCTTCTCGACTCCAATCAGCTTCATCGTGTTTATAACGAATAGAACGATTTGCATAAAGAATTTGTTCTGATTCAAGAAGACGACCATCAAATTCAACTAAACCTGTATCTATACTAATTTCCCATTTTTT